GCTCTCTCTTTAAGTAAAAAACTAAACTCCCTCTAGATCCGCCACTACATTTCTTCTCTTTCAGTTTCTTTGAGTTGTAGCGGGAAAATTTTTGGCACATTGTAAAACGTGCATTATCCTCGTCTGCTAAGGCAAAATCTCGTAATGTTCTGTAGCCTGCTAGGTCTTTTGATGAATTAATACTTACCCATATTTTTGAAAATTTTATATATGTATGTACATGTGAACACGTCATTTTAAAATAAATACGTACGACAAATTTTGTTTAAATACAGAAAGTAAAATTGTGCAATATACATGACGTGGTCTTTGCTTTAGACTATGCCTAACACATGTCCTAATTTTCTCCGCACCTCAAACTTGTCTAAGTTTCTCAATCAGGATTGGATGAAATATTTACCTCATTCTTCAATGTTCTTAATAAAGAAATAATTTTATATGTTTATTGTGCGTTCTCGTTAAACATTTAGACGCTCTTTTTAATATACTATTATATTAATGTTAAATATTTTTATTTAGATTGTTTTAACTCCGCAGAAACGCACAGCGACTTCAAACTTTCATATCATATAACCGACCGCCTCCTGGCGGCCGGTAATAACTCTCTGGATTGGGTTGCTCAAAACACTGGTTAAATTTGACCACTGGATAAGTTAGCCGTTGGTTAAATTCTATATCCACTGGGTAACTAACCACTGGTCAAATATTTGTTGCTCAAAATAAAATTAGCCTCTGGTTAACTAACCACAGGTTAAGTGATTTAACCACTGGTTAGTATCCCACAATGCATTACACTTGTCCAGTTGTCAACCCAAAAAATGGCTACCATAGTAAATATCAAATAAGTAAATAGTGAGACGTTTTAACGTAACAACCGTGTGTGGAGAAGTGGAGAAATATCGACATGTAACATTATCAAAACTAAACAAACGCTTTAGTCGCAAAAAGTGAGGAACACACAAGTCAGCTGGGATTATTCTTCGCTGAAAATTCAAGTGGAAGATGCAGTAACTGTAAACACATAGAATGGGAAAGGATTAGCACCACAGGTAAGATGGATAGAATGATTGCAGAAACCTAGATGCTCGTTAAGCTGAATAAGCTCTTAGGTCTTAGTTTTACAGAAAATATTTTAAAGACTATACCTACTCAAGACAGCTATAATTACGAGGCAAATACATCAGTTTGTATTGTTTCATACCTAAATAATAACTGATTTGAGTCAGGACACCTTTACTGTTTACACCATGTAAACGTCGTCTGCTATTATTCGAGGAAATTCGCACTTGTTGTATTATCGCTTTTATACATACCTTGACATAAAGATCTCAGTCCATTGGTTTGTCAAATATTTCCAAACAAGAAATAACTTTCGTCACATTTATGTAATCCTGCATTACAATGCACTAACACTGTCTGAAAGTGGGTAGCATTTTTTTAAAATTATTACAGAAAGGTCATGGTCGAATATGCAAGTAGATATAGCGAGTTCGTCACTAATGCATTTCGCTCCGTACAATTAAATTTTGCGGTGTAACTAAAATGCATTATCCCAAGTGTATTTTATAAATAGAACACCTTTTAATATTAGCATCAATACATGTAGAAATTAGATAAAAATCTTTATGTAGATATTAATAGCATATGTATCGGAAGCATTGTGAAAGTAGAGTAGCTAACTGAATGTGGGTGGGGGTGGGGGAGGGGGGCTAAACCAACAAATTAAAAAAAGGTAACCCAAATTTTCAATGCCTATAGATACAAAGTCTATCCTATCTTTGCAAAAAAAAAAAAAAAAAAAAAAAAAAAAAAAAAATCCTGATGCCTATGGATAGATATTTAGAATTTAATGCTAGATTTAATTTTGAATAAATATTTTTATTCACTTTATCTCACCGAGACCTTGCCAAAATGATAATAAAATCAAAGGAAATGGTACGCATTTAAAATTTAATGCAGCAGTCAACAAGAAAGGCAGTTTGATAAAATAGGCAGATAAAAATATCGGCAAAGGAAATGATTACGAATATTATTTTGAAAACGAATACATAATGCAAGATCTTTAAAAAAGGGAAAGGAGTGTGTGTGTCGGGGGAGGGGGGGTGTCAATTCTCAATTGATTTTAAATATGTATGGTAACCAAAGAACAATTTATATATATATCCATTATTAGACCTATATGCAAATGACCAACAATTTTATTCATTTATAATTTTTATTTAAAATATACCTATAATTTATTTTTCAGCAAGGGAAGGCCGCTTGGTAAGATCGTTTGTAATGCCAACAGATTAATCCTTGAAAGAACCCATTTAAAACATTTCTGCTGACGATGAAGACTTAAAAACCTATCATATTCCTGACTGTGATGTTATTCCTGCCTAATATTGCTACAAAACCACGTCAACTTGACTTTATAGTACTGCATATGTCTTTTTAAGTATTCATCAACATTAAATCTCCCAAAATTTACAACAAATAATAATTTGTTAGTCATATTTATCCACTGGTTAAGAGACTAACCCACCTCTGTGGAATGGCTAACTTTAGCCAATATTTAACCACTGGACAGCAAAGTTAACCAGTGGAAAAATTTTGAGCAACAGAATTTAACCAACGGTTAAAAGTTAACCACTGGATACGAGATTTAACCAACGGTTAACCTTAACCAGAGTTTTGAGCAACCCAATCCTGGTTTGTCGTCAAACACCAACTTTTATCGTGTACAGTCAAGATAAGCTATCTATGGTGGCATATTTATGCCATCCACATAATTTTTTGTCAACATAGCATATCATGTCAAGTCAAGATAACCATCTCGTCAAGTGATGATAACTTTCTGGTTTGTCGACAAACACCGACTTTATATCTTGCCAAGTCAAGATAAGATATCACATTTTGTTGCAATAGCTATCTTGACATGACGAGATAACTTTTAATCGCGATACAAGATAAATTATCTCGTTTTGTCGAGATAGCTATCGCAAAAATACGATAGCTTATCTTGACTGTACAAGATAAAAGTCGGTGTTTGACGACAAACCAGAACGTTATCATGACTTTATATGATAGTTATCTTGACTTGACGTGATATCTTATGTGAACAAAAAATTATGTGGATGGCATAAATATGCCACCATAGCTATCGTATTTTTGCGATAGCTATCTCAACAAAACGAGATAATTTATCTTGTATCGCGATAAAAAGTTATCTCGTCATGTCAAGATAGCTATTGCAACAAAACGTGATAGCTTATCTTGACTTGGCAAGATATAAAGTCGGTGTTTGTCGACAAACCAGAAAGTTATCATCACTTGACGAGATAGTTATCTTGACTGACATGATATGCTATGTTAACAAAAAATTATGTGGATGGCATAAATATGCCACCATATTATTAATATCAAGCCAAACGTTTAACTGCTTGGCTATCCCCAGGTTTGAAAATTGGATCGGATTTGATAGTTTTGGCTGCCTTCCTTTTCTTACAGCAACTTTTCAAGCAACAATATATATATGTGATTAATGCTAATTAACTATTACATAATGATATTCCTTTGATACTAAACAAAGGCTAGCTGCTTAAGCAGGGTGCGTATCATTACCGCTACATTTTAAAAATTTTCATTACCGCTACATTGCCATTACCGCTATAAAAAACCATACGTTACCGCTACATTAAAAAGAGTACATTACCGCTACATTGCCTCTTTCGTTAGCCAGCCACTTTATGCGTGTACAGTACAACCTATACATGTACATGTATGCAGAAGACCCGTTCCTCCTGCTCACCACGGGGAGGTGAAAGTAGGACTTTGAACAGGATGGGTTTTTAAAAATTAGAATCAATGAGTAATTCGTCGAGGTCTGTTTTGCAGCTGCTTTTGCAACTCTTTTCAATACATCTCCACAATTTTGATTTTTTCAAAGTCTTATTTTTTTTTCTAAATTTATTAAAAAAAATCAATAAGTAAGCCGGCATTCCCTCGATTTGAAACAAACTTCTCAATGGTGGCCATAATGTTCAGATGACGCTAAAATATATATTCTCATTCTCATATTAATTCATTCTGATTAGATAGTTAGTGAATTCTGATGATTATAACTCATGTAAACCGAACTATACCTGGCTAAATCGATATGTAGCGGTAATGAGTTGTTTTTGGCTGATTCAGTATGTAGCGGTAATGAGTTGTTTTTTGCCGAAAAAATGTAGCGGTAATGATCGGTCGAAAATCTGGAAAAATGTAGCGGTAATGAGTTAAAATTTTTGGCAATGTAGCGGTAATGTTGACCTCCCAAGCAATATTAAAGAGTTAAACACAATTCGTCAAGGTGGAATGATTTTATTTCCTATTCAATTGTCAATAAGAAAAGGGTTTGCTTGTTCGTTATGAAAAATCTAGAAACCCTTTGATGAGATCAAAAGCATAGAAATGTTATCAAATGGCAAAGGTTGTTTTACGAAGCATTGATGTTAAAAATACGAAGAATATATACCATAAACATATACAGAATGGATACATGTTGGAACAAACACCTATACCATTTGCTGGTAATTTTAACTTACTAAATGAGTCAATATATGATATATGCAAGATGCACATTTTACATTAATTATTGTCTGAAAAAAGGACAATTTAATACAGCTGTTAGATGTAGGTAAAGAATATTCTTAGAATTACACTGAAGAAACAAATATTAGACTATTCTTTCTATGAAATAGAAATAATGCAGTTACGTACATTGGGACTTGAAAAATTCTTGACAGCACAATAAAAGACAAGTAGACTCCGAGTCAAATGCTATGAAATGACTTTTTAATTCAAAGATAAACGTTTTCAAAATCAAAAAGGTGTTAAGTGTGCTACCTAGAATATACATAATTACAACAAAACTTAATGCCAGGCAAGTTTCGCTATTGGCATAATTTTTCTCTTAACATCAGTAAATCTCATTTCTTTTATACATTTTAATTTATCAATCTTGTTGAAAAGGATTAGTTAATGACGTCACGAAGTAACGTCATCATCTTCCCTTGCGGTGTCCCCTGCCCAGTCCTCCTCGTCCTCCATCAGGTGGTTACTTTTCGCACTTTTCACCGTCTTCTGGTCGGGAGATTTGATTGGCACTGCCGGGGATTTGGGGGGTATCGAGGGAGTCCTCACTTGAACGTAGTCATCCAAGTCTCGCTGCAGAGCAATGTCTGAGTACTTTCCTGACGACGTCCGCGGAAGGGGAGAGTGATATACTTTAGGATTATTGGCTGTGACTAGCATTTGCAACACAAAGGTGTCAGAGCAAGGATTTGGCACTCTGAGTATATTTTTGGGCAAGGTCATTTGTTTCCCGCTTTGGGTCATATGTAAATCTGGTGGCAATTTTGCAATCTTTCGGACAGACTTCATATCTGTTTTTCTGTCTTTCATGATCACGTTTTCCCTATGTTTAAGATTTCTATAAGGATTGTTAAAGGTACGCAATCCATTGTGGGAGGAGAAAGCCTTACTCTGCGACAGGAAGTTTTCATCGTCCTCGTGGTTTCGGATATTCCCCGGGGTATGGTGATTGACATGGATGCATGTCAACAGGGCTTTTCCAGACTCATGATCTTTTATAATTTTCTCCGTCATCTCGTGCCTTGTCATCATTTTGGTACTGGACTTTACTGGCCGGAAAGCCATATAATCCGCTGATCTAGGATGGCTTGATACTTTTTCGGATTCGTTTACTCCTTTAAAAGATTTGGTAGTTAGCTCAATCGGAGTTGCATTGGAGTTGGATTCTGATAATGGCTTCCTAGATGCTGCTGACGACAGCCCGACACGGACATCTGATCGATGACTAGAATAATCCACAAGATCGGATTTTGCCCTCCTTGCCCGAGACACTAGAAACGGAGGTTCCGTTCGCACTTTTGCCGTTTTAACTCCGTGCCGCACCTTGTACATTTCATGGGCAGACGTTTTGAAATTCCCTGTCCTATTATCAGAGAGATATTTCTCGAGAGATTTTGTTGACACGCCGTTTACTGGTTGCCCACAGAGAACGAAAAAAGGTTTTTCCTCAATAACACTATCTTCACACACAATAAACGGCGAGTCCATGGTAGATATACCAAAATTAGCATGTTGCAGACGTCCCAGATACTCCATTCTTCTGGAAGCAGCCGACATTCCTGCCGCGGCCAATTCCAGAGAATGGCGTGACGTCTGCTTCAGGATTATTTCATAGGATTTATCTAATGTCAGTATAGTGCTTGTTACCATTGGTCGATTGGCTCGTGACGTCGCCATTACCGGAGATGACGCAGGCGTATTTCGCGGTGCTGGTGCTCCTTTCACTTTCAGTTTTTCAATGGCTGTCGACATCTTTCAGGAGGTGAATACTTAAAAAGCAACAAGTTAAACATGTTTGAATGTAGTATGGTATAAAAATTTCAAGATTAGTGTCTTTAATTTTTTTTTTATAATCACTAAATACGTAAAAATGATAAGGAAAACATGATAACAAGAAATGAAGTAAACACATGATATTAACTTACGTATTCGAAATACAAATAAACCGTCTCACAGAATTTAATTCCAATTCCATTTCTACTAACGCTGTATTACTAAGAATCCGGACTAATTAATATATTGAGTAATTCTTAATTAATTGTCTGTTCCCTCGTGGTAACGCGATGCATATGTTAGTCTGCACACGGATTACCGTTTAAAGCACAATAACTTTGTAACCAATGCAATCACTTGTCAATTGAGAGATTTTAATCCTTTTATTTTACCTTGATATTTAGATCTTAATCTCATTAAGACAGCTCAAGATATATACACCCCAGTTAATATTTACAAGGTAGAATACCATTTCAGTGTAGATTCCTAAATATACTGTAAATATTATTAGTTTTCTGTTTCGTAGCTTAGGTGTGAATATTTATTTATACTATATATAAATCTTTACCACCACCCAAAATCAATCAACGTTAAAGTTATTGATATTTTTTCTGTAACAAGTATTTAAAGAGAGTTAAACACTTGAACTATAATATCTCCATCTCTAAGTTCATTCCAGTAGAGTATTTGAGAATAGGAATCCCCTCCTTACTTTCAATATAAATATGGCCAGCAAAGCCTCGAAACTTGAGAAATCTAAAGTTTGTGATCTAGATGTGATAAATTTAAACGTCTGTCACCTGTCTACTACAGGCCTTTTAGTATATTACGCGTGTCGGGGATGTTTAACAAATTTTGGCAGGGGGGTTTATGCAGCACTTTGTACACGAAGTCAAGTTCATCTGATAAATCGTGGGAAATTAGCATATAAACGACTTTATAAGGGCATTGTGATCGAATTTATATGCCGGCGTACAAAATTTCACTTCTGTCTCTTAGAAGGATACAATAATATCAGAATAAAGAGAAAATATGCTTGTACATTGGACAGTTATCGCGTATATAATCTATATTGTATCTGGTCGCCAATCCAAATTTTTAACAGACCAGCGACCTACAGATCTGCAGCTATCGTACAATAATGACCTCGGTCTGAAGTTGATCAATGCATCAATATGTGCATATTTTGGACCACTGCTCAAGGCATTTACATCTTCATGTATGCGCATTGAATTTGCTTTTCAAGGTCGACAATAATAACTGTGAAAACTTGCCCTTACGATAATTTAAAATGCTTACAGGAAAAATATCCATTATATTTTTGTATAAAGTTTGTTCTACATGAATGAAATTTGGAAACACTTACCTTATAATTTTATTCCATAAATGTTGACAAGTAAGTGTGGGGTTTTACGGCATCTTTATCCGCCATAGTTCTTATTGGGGCCAATACTCTCATTCATATCTTCGCAGTTCTTTCATAGCATTTTTACGCCATTTAGAGTCACGATTGTAAGCTAAGAGCATGGAAAGTTGTCCAGCGGATTATAATTAATTAAAATCAGCTATTAATATTAGAGAAGAATATTTTGCTGCACAACACATATGCGAATCCAGCTTGCTGAAATTTGGCACATATACATGTGTAATACAATTATAAAAATCCCCCCGATAGTGGTGTTTAAATCAAAACTTCATACCGTCTTAATAACCTCATAATGAAGAGATTCAAAGAGTAGATTAGCTTCAGTTTAACATGCATTCTAATTAACAGACCGTGGACGTATACTTTGTTCATTGAAATACATTAATACTGCGTATATATATCATAACTTGTGTCTTATTATGACTCGAGATTAATGATTTGATACTTTACAAGACTGATGTTTTCAAGATATTTTTTCAGATAAATTTTGAATTAAAGAAATAAGGATAGTCTCTCTTTGCAAATTCTTATTAATTTTGTTACATTTCAGAAACAGAAGAAAATAAAATTTAAGATTAATTAAAAAAAACTTTTTTCGACTTTACGACAAATATCGAAACCTGTATCAATTCAGTGGGTGAAATTCAACTGAAAGGAGGTGTTTCATTTCTTGTAAAACTTACAAGTCTATTGGAAAAAAAGTATACAGGTAATAAATTTCAGACATTTAAATTTTCTAACGGTTTGGGATTTGTAATAAAAATCACAAACATAGATATCAAAAGCCTTAAGTGCACCTAAGTAACACAAAACATTGATTTTTACTCCACTGAAGATGACATTTGAAATGCAAGTCTCGTCCAATGTAATATATCAACACATACCCTTCTTTTTAAATTACATTTTGAAATAATCTAGGGCATCAGCTGTTCGATAACACAAAATTGGCGCGCCGCTTGGTTTTTTGAACTTTGGCGTCTTGAAGAATTTTATATCTGTCACCAAGAAATCAAAACGTGTAGTTAGTGAAGAAGTTATGCTTGTAATCAACCTGTGGTATGTTATGGTAAGTCTCTCTCTCTCTCTCTCTCTCTCTCTCTGTGTGTAAACGGATTAACCAAAATATCGGGTTATTTAATTGATTTTTATTTATTTATTAAACATGTATCGAGATAAAGTGCAATGGTAATAAAAATAGAAAAATTATAATAGAAGTCTGACTCATCATTAAAAAGAAATAACATTCGGTAAAAAAAAAGAGAGAGAGAGAGAGAACAATAATAACAATGGATGAATTTAAATCACAAAATTAAGTGATAGATACATGTACATGTATTTCGTGATAAGTGTGCATACATGTATATATTTATATCTTTTTTTAGAAGCATAAATCTCCATTTCTTGAGGTTGAATAGAGTAAGTGCGTGTAGTTACAATGTAGAAACGAAAGTTTTATAGTGATCTTTATTAAATGTTTTTGGTCTTGGTGCGCGATCAAATTAACATCTGTTAGAGTTATATACATGCACATATTATTTAGGTAAGTGTGTGAAAATGAATAAAGTCTCTTTTATAGAAATGCCAACGAAACCTCAAAAAGGATTAAAAGAAATTCATCTCAAACTTTGAAAGAGAATTCTATTACATGGGGGACCTGTTTTTCACTAAATTGGATCGTGTTTTTCATTTTAATGAATGTGTGTACGTCTTTACATTTTTCAGTTTTGAGACCATCTCAATTTCAATGTTTGTGAACGATCAATATTTTGTCAATTACTTTAGACAACAATCTACTTTTCTGCTTTTTCGTTTCCATTAAGAGTTACAAGTGTAAATATTTTAAATCCCATTATTTTGGGGAAGAGCCCTAATCATTTTATGATATAATACCTGCCGTAGTCCAATATACATTTCAATTAGACACGTTCTTTCATTTAGCGTACGTGAAAGTTAAGACCGTAATATCTTTAAATAATTGTTCAGATCATTTGATCAAAACTTTTCTAAATTCCATTTTCATAATCTAGTTTGTATAGGAGACCATTTAAAACGTCCATAAAGCGATTTGTAGGTATGAAAAACACAGCTCAATATCGTGGCACAATGGTCGGTTTTACCTGCACAATTTAATGGTTTTAGCCATTGTGTTGGTTGATATGTGATAATAATCCGCTATAGCAATGCATTCTGTTTGCAGGTGATTGGATATTAAGCTGAAAGCTGGACCTTTTCGGTGGAAAAAATAAACGAATGGAGTGGTCACTATTTCAAGCGGATTTTTCTCAACAAAAAAGTGATTATGAGTAGGTTTTTGCATTATGTTGGATTTTTTCACTAGGCACTATGGCCACTCAAATTAACGACAGGACTCTTAGGATTATAAGTAGCTCATACAGTAGCTTGTTTCCACCGAGAAATTCACCAGAAAAACCAAACGATAAAAAAATCAAAATACCGGATAAACAGACATTGGAACGGATCCACAAACAAATATTTTCCGGGGGTGTGCGTGCGCCAACTCTAGCAGACATCAACACTGGATACAGCCGATACCCCAGCAGACAAAGTAATATGGAGTCTCCACTCCGATATCAGCTAAAAATTCATAGCAAACACATCGGAGGAAGCAAAACAACGATACAAAATCTGGAAATGGAGCGGAGTAATATGTCTTTAGGAAGTTTGGGAAGTTATCCTAAAATGGTTAAATTCTTACTTCCGAATGGCTGTACGAAGTCTTCCGAAGGTGAATCCTCATTTGAGAATGATGCTGAGAAAGACGAGTGGGAGAAATGGCGGGATTCTGTGGCGGGTGTCAGGGATGCCCGCGATGTTCTGTACAGGTATTCGGTGAGTAAGGACCGGGAAATCCGGTACAACAGCTCCACGTTACCGCACATCCCCAAAGAAAACAGACCCTGGACGGCGGGGGAGGAAACACAGCCAAAAGTTCGTAAAAACAATTTAGTTCTCGATTTCTCCAAAGAGTCCAAGTCAGATAAAACACAACATGTTCCACAACCCCATCGACAAGCAGCACTCAGCAGGACCCTGCGCAGGAAATTTTTAAAAAGTCGGGATAGTCAACATGAAGTGAACTTTCTAGAGGTAAAACGCATCACAGCAAATCAGGATTTAACCAAGGGTGAATATGGCCAATGCACAACAAATGTTCAGCAACCAATCGAGTTTCACGGAATAGGATTCACGAGGAATCGGATGGAGCGACCATTAAAGCATGAAAATCTCTACGGACGGCCCATGTACCTTTCCTATAAACATTATGAACAGGTCCCGGCCATTCCTGTTGTGACCTCAACAAAAGAGTACAAATCAGTTGATGCATATAAACAATACGTAGAAAATCTCCAAAACAACGTTATTGTGGAGGGGCAGAAGCCCGGATTGCGGGAAAGAGAGAAAAGCGACCTCTCACAATATGGACAGGAGAACCGCATTCTTCAGTCTGTTATCAACGTCAATCAACCAGCTGAACCAATCGATTTGCAGGAAAGTAATGACGTCAAACCTATCGCCGAAAATGACGCAGAGAATCAAACTAACAGGTCGAACCTCTCTATCAATAGAAACGAGGATGCACACACTAATCGGTCAAACAAATCTATCGTGGTGGAAATCAAGTCGACGTGGAGGGAGAGAGAAAACACGGACGAACACAACATCCAGGAGCAGGGAGAACCCGTCATGGACGCTCTACAGCCTCAGGGTGAGGAGGGGGCGGATAACGATCCCCACTCCCCTAAAACATGAGGGGAAACATACTTTGTTTCATGCATTTTGTCAGTTTTTGGTCATTGTTCTGTGTTCTGAACGAAGCTATAGACAACTATTATGTGAAAGTCTTTCGTTTAGTCATTTTCACAATTATATTTATACATGTAATAGTATACTGCTATGCGAACAGTGTTCAGAAAGAGTCTTTTTTTTACTAAGGATAAGAAAAATATCTAAACATTTAAAACAAAAGTCAAAGCTTTAACTAAACATGCTAAAAGAGTATTGTTTAAATTTTATTTCGGTCGTAAAAATTTGAGAGTATATGGTTTGCACGGAAAAAAGGAAATGCCTGGTTCATTTGAATGGTGATTTCAAATTCCTAATAGCTATACAGCTTTAAAAGTTTTGGTTTAACAATGCTATTTTCCTTTCTATTTTTAAAGTGTGACCATTCTCAGGCGATTCTTCTGCTCTTGCATCATTTTGTTAAAGTTATATTCCCATTGATTGTTTCACAAGATAAAACAATATGTAAGTAATAATTTTGAAAAACTTGATTTCTGCATTAAGCTAGTGGTTTATCGATATTACCTAAGGGTAGAGAGGGAGAAGTGGTTGGTATGAAAGATTACACGGAATCAGGCGTATGTTAAGGTCACACACAACGTAGTTTGTGTGTTAAGGTCACACACAACGTAGTTTGTATGTTAAGGTCACACACAATGAAGGACCTGTGTGCAATACTTTTAAATGTCTATATATGGATTTGAACACCTCTTCTATAACAAATTTTGATGGTAAAAAATCTGGAATTTATGTTTTGTAATTTTTATATATTTTTCTTTGAATATGTGATAACTTTTCACACACCCCTGGTAACGCATGCTGATTTTTTGTCTGGAAGAATATTCTAAATACCTGTGTGTATTTTGTATGGATTTGAAATTTAAACAAATTTTAAAAAAAATCAGTAGGAATAATTTGTTTATGTTTTGTAATTTTTATACAGTAAATATAAACATGTATATGATATAACTCTATAATTATATAGTTTTTATGGTGATTGTGTGTTATTGTTCATTGTTTATGCAAATTATCACACAAGACCATAGTTTGATCACGTCATAAAACCAAAAACATTATTACATTATTTTCTGTCTTTTCAAAACAAAGGAAACTTATTACCAAGATTGATGCTTTCTTTCTTTTAAGAAATCGGTAGGTATATTCTATTAATTTCATATAAAGCTAATTTAGATGTGAGTTTTATTCCATTATAATTAATTTTCTAGCCAAAGGAAATTGTCAATTAATTAACTTGCAACCAGTTTAGGTTGAAATACGAGTTTATGAGTGGTAACTCGACGTCCTCTCTGAGGACTCGTTCTGTCCGAAAAAAAAATCTAGCATTCACTATTATATGTAACTATTATTCGAGTACCCTGTATCATGTATATCTTTTACATTTTTATTATTATTATTGTTACCGATTTTGTGCAAATTCAACTCAGTACTTTAGAAAATTATTGAATATCAAACAAACCTGATATATAATTTTTTCTTTGAACATTTTATTTTGCTTTAGATTTTACATTATATTTAAATTATATATCTTGAGTTTTTCAGCAAATAAATATTAATTTAAAATGTCTTTTTCAAGGGATTATCGCTATTCCGAAAAGAGAGAATTTTAAAATTTCTAACATTTAAAACATAGCGAGAACAAAAGATTAAAAAGTGTTGATCTCGAAAAAAGTCCTCTCCTATGGATTATACATTTGTAAGCAGAACAAAGTTGTTCAAAATGATTTATTGAAATTAATCGAGTTTAAAAAAAGTACAGAAATATTTTTTATCCTTTAAAGTACCTATCCACAAACAATTCAAGCGTTTTGCATTGATCACTCAAGTTGGGTTTTATTATACATATTAAACAACGTTGTAAATAATTGTTGCAACGGCCGCAGTATTACAGCGCCACTTTGAAAAATTACGCACTTTGAAAAAAAAATTCAAAATGGGTTAAATGTGGGACCAAATCAGCGCATATTGAAAAAATAAAATTTATTTTCAAAGTGCATTGATACATGTATCAACCATATTAACGAACTTTTCGGTGATAAGGTCACTTCAGAATGTGAAAGTGAGTGATTTTGATTTTTCCATACCCTGAAAATTCTTTCTTTCTCAAATGTTTTATAACTGTACTTCATTTTTTCCAGTTTGCATGCATTTTATGCAACAGTTATTCAAATACATATATTTAGGATATGTACAAAATGATATAGAAAAAAATCATGAAATCACGCGCATGCACGTGTGCTTTCTGATTGGCTGAAACTTTAAATGGCTATTTCTCCTTTGTTTTTTGAGAAATTCTTTGAAATTTAAAATATACCATTAGGATATCCTACAAAATGATATTAAAATAAATCATTCACGCGGGTGGGGGATTGGTTAGACACACAAATGTTTTGCAAAGATAAACAGATTTTAGGCTGCAATGTGGAGGGCCATCCAGGACAGATTTAAAAATACACTTGAAGCTGTGATTTTTATACAAAGCTTTAATATATGTCTTTAAAATATATGGATACAGGCCTTGTATCGCAAAGTCCAGGAGTTAAGACTAAAAAGAATATAATTTATTTCAACGCTTCCTTCTTCAATTTTTTTTAATGAAATGGCAAAATAAAATTTAAATGAAATGCCTATTATTTCTTTAAATTCAATTAAATTGTATTATTTTTACCATGAGTAGAACCGATTTATTTTATTTATCATTTATGATAATTTTTTTTAAAATTCATATTTCAGAGAGCACACAAGCGAGAGATTTAAAGGGGATGTTTATGGATTATACATTTGTAAGCAGAACTAAGATTTAATGAATTAATCGAGTTAAAACACAAAGTATTTTTCTCTCCTGGACCAAAGCATCATGGACAACTTCATGGCATATGTTTATTATACATATGGTTGTAAACAATTGTTGCAACGGAGTGTGTTTGAAAAATGGCATCTTTGTAAAAAAAAAATCAAAATGGGTTACCTTGAGGGCTGACAGCACATTGAAAAAATAAAATTTATTTTTAAAGTGCTTGAGGGCTGTACACATATAACGAACTTTGAACACCAGAATGAACAGTGATTTTGATTTTTCCTGTCCCCTTAAATGTCTTAATAACCTGCTGCTGCAAGAACAATTATTCAAATACAAATATCCCAATGCAGGTGTAGCATAGACATTGAGGGGGGGGGGGGGGGGGACACACAAATGTTTTGCAAAGATAAACAGATTTTAGGCTGCAATGTGGAGGGCCATCCATTTTCAGATTTTCGGGGGCTGTGTAAAAATAAAGCTAGTTAAAGTCACTAAGGAGACTAGGTAAATTTATACCTTCCTTCTTCAATACAATCAATAAAATTTAAAAGCAGTTTTACTAAATTGTATTGGGTACATTTATTTTATTTATCATTTAGATTTTTTTTTTAAATCTAGAATTGATAAGTAACTTTCACTATGTATGTATCTTACCTCCAGAACACAGAGTCGATGTTCCACCACTGGACCAAAGCATCAACTTCATGGCATATGTTTGGAGGCATTGGTTTCCAGTAAACTGAAAGACCTTGAGGGCTGACACAATCGTCTTGACTGACACAATCGTCTGAACACCAGAATGAAAGTCGTGGTCCTGTCCCCTTTACCTACTGCTGCAAGAGCACACTTCCATCCCAATAAATTCAGCAAAATGGAGAGTTTTTCTTTCAGTGTCGACTCTTCACTTTGTGGGAAGACTACAACCAGAAAGAGACTAGCACCACCCAGCTGTTGTGGAGGTGTTCGGAGCTGTGTGGACCTGTGGACTGTTAAAATGTGATGTGGTCATCGAGTGCTAAAGTGTATTAAGTATCCAGAATTGTGTGCGAATGGGGAACAGTCTGACTGTTTAATTTATATTTTCATATGGACTTTTGAGTTATATTCATATGTGATAAATCATGGAAAATGACTGTGTATCACTGTATGTATATGTTTGATCTATATTAAGATTTATAATACATTGTATCATTTATGCATTTTATTGTATAATGCATGGGCGTCGGAAGCAAATTGAAAGTGGGGGGCTAAATCAAAAAAAAAATTCCAATGCCTATATATAAGGTCTATTTTCCGGGGGAAAAAAGGGGGGCTAAGCCTTCCTAGCCCCCCGGTTCCGACGCCTATGTAATGAGATTGTGAATGCTAATTATTAATGGACAAAGTAAATCTGCAATATTAGATGTGCCGATGAAATAAACCACATTTAATGACTCATTTGTTTTTGTTTTTTTACTAATTTAAATATTAGAGTTCACCTTGAAGAGGAAGCTAAGCAAAATATTTAATTATGAAAGGTACACGTGTACATGTATCTACATGCATGTCCTGCATTTGAGTCTGATGATCATATATACCATCAATGTTTGAGATGTTGAATATAAAATTGACAATGTCCTCATAAAAAAAGAGGTTAATTTAGATAATGTTGAATGAAAAAAGTGCTTTGATATTAAGAAAGAAAACGTAAAAAAAAATATTATAAGATAATAATTGGTGGCTGTGCTTAAATTGAAAGTTAATCAAATTTTAAAATCAAATTTTCAAAGTTGCTATCTGTATGATTTTCACACAGAGCTGTACTTAATAACCAGGGGCAAAAGAGAAGATTTTTAAAAAAAATATATAATGCATTTTCACTATATAATCTATATAGCCATACCATCGCTCTAGAACCCCTGACCCTGGGGCAATAAATTTCACAATTTTCGAAAGGACACTATTCCTCAGGTGTCTTCTAGCTATTCCCACTTTTTAAAAGTAATATAATTATGTATGTATAGTTAATTTGTTTAATACCCAGAAGCAAAGATTAGTTTCAAAGAAACTGTATTAAAAGATATTTTTATTAATTTTAACTTCTTATGCAAGTAGATATTGATGAGAGCTATTCAACCTCGCTTTTCTTATATTAGTGTTAAACTCATTTTAAAATAAACCATTCAAGATATTTTTTTAAACTTTATAAATTATGTGGATACTTTTAAGATAGAGCTTTTCAACTGAATTACTGCATGTATTAAAAACTTTTGACCTTGAACTTTCTGGTGACCTTGACCTAAGTTGGCTCCACTTACAAAGAAATAAAAAAGTAAATTATATTTATGTGAGCTTATGCACTTATATAATGTACATAATTTGTTGAGAATTTACCATCTAAATCTTATAATTTATTTTAAAAATTCTTTTATAAAGAAACTTTTCAGGATTTCTCATCATTTTTTTTTTTTGGTCTCATTACTAGTGTGCCTCGACAGGGCTTCATGTCCTATAGACATACTTCTAGCTTTTTATATATAAAAAAAAAAAAGTTTTTCATTCCATATAAAATGATAATTTTGATCGAAGTAATGTATTGAATGTATGCATGTCTAATGGCATTCAAGCACGTCTTTCTTTGTATGGAAGATCAGTGGCGTAGCATCGTTTTTGAAAGTGGGGCCAGCCAGAGAAAATTTTTTTTTTACTTACCTGAAAAAGTTGACAAGCAAAAAAAAAAAAAAAAAAAAAAAAAGTTGCCCAAACTCGAAAAACCTATTTAGTAAAGGGGGGGGGGGGGGGGGGGTGTTGATGGTTAACTTTTTTCTCAGTTTCAACTTCTTTTAGTACCAATTTTCA